GGCATCCTGCCCTCCACTCCCCACCCCCCGAACGCTTCATTTCCCTGGTAGTTCCGTTTTCTGCCTCCGTCCTCGTCTCATCGCTAGCCGGTTTTTCAGCACCGCGGACAGCTCCCGAGGCGCTCTCGAAGGGGTAAACTTGAGAGATCAAAAGGGGACGATGGGGGAAGGAACTTGGCTTGTTGTTGTTGTTTTTGCAAGTTTGTTTGTCCAGTGTTCTGTGATAAGGTAAGTAACGTATTAGAGGATCTTACAGAGAGATGGAACCAACTCCTTACATAGACCTTCTCCAGGGCGAGTCCAGCTCTGGAGATGGTACCCTGCCGGAACCTTGAACTATAAGATAATTTTGGGCTTAGTGGTTCCTTGTGTTCTTTCGTGTATTAGAGCATCTTACAGAGAAATGGAACCAACTCCTTACATAGACCTTCTCCAGGGCGAGTCCAGCTCTGGAGATGGTACCCTGCCGGAACCTTGAACTATAAGATAATTTTGGCATGGCTTAGTGGTTCCTTGTGTTCTTTCACTGTCTGATTCTTGCATGCACCGGTTGGAACTTTGGTGCGCCTTGTTCACTCTTTCACCACAACACGCACAGGCGTCCAATTCCATCCTTACCAATGAGGCTCCTGCGAATCGACTGTACATTGCAGGGTTTGTTGGTTTGACATCGCCTTCCTTGTGAAAATGGCAGTGTCTGATCTGTGTTAAGTGACAGTGAACATGCGCCCCTGTGGCACATGCTGTCTGATGGCTAAGGAATAAGAAGTGAATGGGGGCTTTGGCGGTGTGTACTTACTGGGGATGTGGAGATGCTTTAAAGTCCACAATCTCATCTTCGGGGTTGAAATGGGAAGTTAGTCCAGATCAGTTAACATGGAGCTTTCAAGCATATTTTAAAAAAATGCTTTCGGAGTCTTCTAGATTGCATTTCTAATTTGAGTTTAGGTTGTTCTCTTTTCTTCCTTTCCTTTCCCTTTTGTCACAACATAATGATGCATCAGGCTTTTAATGGAGGCAATGATCTCCATTATTACAGTGGCTGGCCCTCACTCTTGACAATTCTGTCAACCAAAATCTCCTTCTGTATCAGCAAGTGTGCCATGCTCAGAAAAACAGAGCACAGTGGATCATATATTTTAACTTCGACACGATTTACCCCAGGTGGTTGCAGACTCCTCTGCATGCTGAATGTAGACTTAACTGACCAGCGTCACCTAAAACCAGGCAACTGCATGAATGCAAGGAAAAAGTGTGTTGCAGCTTTCCTAGAATGGTGTGGGTGGGCTAAATGTTGCAGAAGTATACTAATTGACCATTACGAAGACTTCAAAGGTCTCTGTTCTAGAAAAACAGCCCTGCCAAAGCATTCTTTGATCTTGGGGTATGTCTGTGTCTATAATAACTCTCCCTATACCCTCAATATTATCAATCTGCTTGATTACTCGTTCAGTGGCAAATTTTGGTGCAAAGTCCTCTGGATTCCCCCCTCTCAATCCCTACGTCTTGGTAGCAGCCATATACAGAAATCTCCTTCTGAATGATTGCTGTTGTTAAGGAGCGAAGCTTTTGTCAAATGTAGGCTGAAACAGGATTTAAATCTAGCATCTTCAGTCATTGGTTCTAACTCTTGCTATTACACCTCCTAGGTTTTCTTGATAAAATGAAGTAATACTGGATATGTATTCGTGAAGGCTTTCATGGCCGGGATCTAATGGTTGTTGTGGGTTTTTCGGGCTCTTTGGATGTATTCTGAAGGTTGTTCTTCCTAACATTTTGCCAGTCTCTATGGCCGACATCTTCAGAGGACAGCACTCTGTGCTCTGGTGTAGTTGGCTTGGGAGTGCCCAGGTGTCTAGTATTACTGGATACCTTTTGTCTCATGCATTCTCTTCCTCTCCCTCAGAACTTGCTCAAGCCTTCGAACAACACGGACTTGTTCTGATTGTAGCAAAAGAGACACTTTAGGAAAGGGGTGCAAAATAAAGCCTTCTGGTGAAAGAATTATTCTGTAGCCACCCTAGTAGAAGCATTAAAGCACAAAACAGTGCAGGGATGAGGATGTGGGCGGGCCGAAGCGTTCTTCCTGGTTTAATTCCCATTTGGTTTGGTTGACTCACGCATCTGTCTTGGTCTCTTGAACAGGTGTTGCATCTCCTTGCTGTCATGGATTTGTTTAAATGTATCCTCTTGTGTTCCCTTGCTCCCCTGATCTGTACGCATATCCGAGGGGGCAGACATTTCTAAATATCTTCCTTTAAATAAAAAATTAAATACTTGTTTAATCAGAAAGTCACATGAAAGGCAAGAAACCTAATAGTGTCTGTTGTTCCAGCACTTCTAGCTACCACCTCCAAAGACCATTTTTGTTACCTCAAACTCTAGTGTCTCTCTCCTCCACTAAATAGGTCCCCACTGTTTAAATAAGGATGTACTATGAGGCGTACCGTGATGCAGCTCCCTCAAACTGGGGGTCATGAAAGGACAGAAAATAGCTAGTTGTTAATATACTTATTGTTGCATTTTTACAACCAGGGAGAAAGTAAAGGTCTTGGAGGTTTGCCTTAATGGGATTTTCTGAAAAATAGATTGTTGTGACATATAAAGTCTCACCTGATGGGTGACGTTTGCTGGTCATGGACTGCCTTGGCATTAAATTTTTTGCCTCTAGTTTCCACCGAAATAGGTGGGAGAGTGTCTGATAGATAGTAAGCACCTGCTGTAAACGCTTATTTCAGAAAGCATCTTCTAGCCATCAGTGGTGGTTGAGGAAATGTATTTAACCATTAGTGCCAGCCTGGAGAGAAAATCACCTCACTTGACGCAACACGATAGCATTCCCGTTAGAGGGTTTTTGTTTTGTTTTTTTGCTTGCTTGCTTGTTTTGATTCATAAGAAAACAGTGATACAGAGAATGCTAGGTGATTATTCATTTTTCCCCTAGTTGGCTTGATATGGTACAATGTAAATCATTTACTGCCTTGCAATTTAGGAGCATGTTGGAGATGAATTTTGGACTAGAAGGCAATGCACTAGTTCTTAGACTATCAGTAAAAAAATGATTAAATAGCAATTATAGCCATCAATCTTGGGTTTCTCAGGAGGTTGCATCAGGTAGCTTTATACTGGGATGTCAGCTCTGGATGTAAGATGGAAATAAGAAAGACGACATAGATAATAATGCTTGAAACTTATTGCAGATAATGGAAAAGAAGCACAGTTATTACCGTGAATTAACAATTTGAATTAGAGTATTTACAGCCCCTAATAAATATTCAAGTAGCCCCTTTGCCAGCTTCAGTTTTCTTTATCAGTTTCTTGGTGTAACACAGCAGTAGTTTACACCCACCTATTCCTCTTTCATACTGTCATGTGATCACTTTATAGATGTCTGATCTAAACCTTATTAAAGCATGTGCTCAGCACCCAGAAGCTGATGGGGTTTAGAGCATTTGCAGGCCATCCAAACCCAGGCGGGGTTGGCAAAAGCATTACCCTGCATTCCCAGGTCAACAGAAACTGCAGTAATTTGTGTGTGTGTGTGTGTGTGTGTGTGTGTGTGTGTCTGTGTCTGTGTCTGTGTCTGTGTGTGTGTGTCTGTGTCTGTGTCTGTGTGTGTGTGTGTGTGTGTGTGTGCGTGTGTGTGTGTTAAAATCACTTGTTAACATTTTCTATGCTTTGGCATCGAGAGTGCCTGCTTACAAAATTTACATGTTCTTACATGTTTTTTAAAAAATTTTTATAATTGTTTTAATCATTGGTTTTAATACCAATAAATGTTGAATAGTGTTGGATTTTTAAAAATATAGAATCAATGTTATTTTGAACCTCGATTATTGTACAGTTTAATCGTTGCCCTCTATGGGGAGAAAGTGGCACAGAAAATAAAAATAGATAGATAGATAGATAGATAGATAGATAGATAGATAGATAGATAGATAGATAGATAGATAGATAGATAGATAGATAGATAGATAGATAGATAGATAGATAGATAGATAGATAGATAAAGTAAATTGAGATGTGCACAGGAGCAGTACAAATGTCCTTACTAGGAAACAGCATGAAGCAGTTGCCTTAAGAGATTTATTTATTTATTTAAATTTATTTAAAATATCTCACCCTGCCTTTCTCCTTAAAAAGGACCCAAGGGATATATTTTGGAAGAG